AGACCTCAACATAAAACTAGACACACTAAACCGCTTAGAAGAAAAAGTGGGGAATACCCTTGAACTCATTGGCACAGGAGACTACTTCCTGAACAGAACACCAACAGCACAGACTCTAAGAGCAACAAACAGTAAATGGGACATCATGAAACTGAAAATCTTCTGTAAAGCAAAGGATACTGTCCTCAGAACAAAATGACAGTCTACAGATTGGGAAAATATCTTCACCAACCCTATATCTGACAGAGGTCTAATATACAGTATATATAAAGAACTAAAGAAGTTAAACAACAAAAAAATCAAGTAATCCAATTAAAAAATGGGGTACAGAGCTAAACAGAGAATTCTCTGCAGAGGAATATTATTTTCTTTGATGGATACATTGATTTCTTCCATTGTATCTTCCACACCTGAGATTCTTTCTTCAATCTCTTGTAGTCTGTTGAGTATGCTTACCTCTGTAGTTCCTGTTTTCTTTCCTAGGTTCTCCATCTCCATGATTTCCTCCATTTGTGTTTTCTTTAATTTTTCCAATTCTATCTTCAGATCTTGAACCATTTTGTTGATTTCCTTTACCTGTCTGACTATTTTCCTGTTTTTCCTTCAATTCCTTCAGCTGTTTGTTTGAACATTCCTCTGTTTCTTTTATTTCTTTCAGTGATTCAATCATTTTCTCTCTGAAAGCCACAAACTGTTTGGCTGCATCTTCCTGTATTTCTTTATGGATGGCCATAATCTGTTTTATTATATCTTCCCCTAATTCTTTACACATTTTATTTGCTTCCTCCATTAACCTCTTCATAACCATAGATGTAAGGTCACCTTCTTGAATTTCACTTATGTTAGGGTGTCCAGGGCTACTTGCCCCTGGATAACTGGGTTCTGTGGATGACATATTGCTTTGCCTTTTGTTGGTTGTCCTTTTTCCTGGCCTCTACCCATCTCTCTGTCTCAGGTGTTTTCTGTTAGTTTCTGGTGCCTGCTGGGTCATGGGGTGGGTTGTGCTTTTTCGCTGGCCTCTACCCATTTCTCTGTCTCAGGTATTGGCTGTTAGTTTCTGGTGCCTGCTGGGTCATGGGATGGGGATAATCTACTTGTCAGGGTTCTGAAGTTCTCCTCAGCTTTTTGTGTATGGTCAACTGAATGGTGGTGCTTCTCAGGAATTGTCACAGTTCACTTCAAGCGTATGGAACTGTGTGGTGGTAACTGTCATGTTCAGAAAGGCTCTCCTCTCATCATGAGAGGTCCTGGTGATGGCTGCCCTGCTGCTGGGTTTCTTGCTCTGAATTTAGTGAGCAGCAGCTGTTGCTCTTAAGGTGTAATTGTTGAGTGCAGCCCTCTTGAAGAACCAGGGATTCCCACAGTTTTGTCAGTTTAGCTAGGGATAACTGGTTGAACCTTGGAGCAGTATATGAGGGCTGCTGTGATGACACTCTGGCTTTTGTAGGTCTGAGGACACAGCTGTGTGCCCCAGTGCCCTAGCAGTACTCAGCAATGGCAGGTGAGTATGGCACTCATGCCTGCAGTAAAAGGCTAGAGCCTACAGTCTGTGTGAATTCAGAAAGTCTTCTGGAGCTGCGTGTCCTGAGCATTGGACCTGATGAAAACCCCCACTGTGAGGTTTCCTCCTGACAGGGACACCCACACTTTGCTTTGAGGACCCCCTTTCTGTCTAGGATGGGGAGTAGAACCCGCAGGCACAAAGGAGCGTGGCTCCGTCTTTCTGGCGATTGGGTGCCTGGACTTCTGCTGAAACTGGCTAACTTTTCCGGAGACCTTTTTGGGGTGGTGGTATTGGCTGAGTGCTCTGAGATCAGACCAGCCGTTCCCTTCCCTGTGGGTTTGCACCCTACAGAGAAACTCAGTCTCTGGTGTCCTGGAGCCTGCAGTTCTATCAGGGACAGTGAGTCAGGCATGCAGGCAGGACTCTGGGCCAGCACTTAGGTTCACAGCTCTGGCTCTGGGCTGGCTCCTGGGCACCTGTGGAACCCTGGGTCTTTTTCAGGGAATGTCTGGGTGACCTAAAGTCGGTCCCAATCATTTCCTGCACCGTGTGGTTATCTCTCCACTGGAAATCCCAGTCTCTGATATTGTGGGGCCCACAGTTCAGTCTGGGACAGTGATCAGAGCATGCTGGCGTATGGCTCTGAGCTGGTGACCAAGTGCCTGGTGGAACTGGGAACTCTTCCATGGTTTAGCTGGGTCAGTTGAAGCTGATTGAATCCCCCACCCTGGGTATCTCTAGGTATCCTGTCACCTGGGAAACACAATCACTTGTGTTTTAGGGCCGCGAGTTCTGACTGCTGGTCACTGTGCCAATCCTGCTGTGTTGCTGGTCAGAACGAGAGTCATCCCAGCGCTGCCATCTTGCCTCCTAATACATATTTTTTATTTTAATTTTTATTAATTACATTTCATTCACTTTGTATCCCCCCGTAAACTCCCCCCTCCTCCCCTTCCCATTCCACCTTCCTTCCCCATTCTCCACACATGCCCTTCCCCAAGTCCACTGATAGGGGAGGTCTTCCTCTCCTTCCTTCTGATCCTAGTCTCTCAGGTCTCATCAAGAATGGCTGCATTGCCTTCTTCTGTAGACTGCAGTTTATACCAGTGCCTCACCTAATAGGCTGCCCACTCTCCCCTTGGTTCTTTCCAAATCACTTTGCCCACTGGACAATTTGTACATGTTTCCCGCGGAGGCCCTTCTCTTCATGGATTAGAAGAAAGCTCTGTTCTTCTCTTGCCTTCACTCTCATTGCTATTCATTCTCAAAATGAGGTTCCTGCTCCCTAGTTTGGGGTGCTAATGCTCCTGATACCAAGAGAGATCAAGGAGGAAGGAAAGCAGGCACTGTGTAAGCTCTAGGATTGGGCTGCTTTCCATGCTTCTTCTGTTCAACTATGAGAGGAGCAGGATTTGTGCTGAAACTCTTAAAGTGAAATCCACCAGGAGAAACCAAAGACTATTTAAATTACAATTAACCAACTTTTGGGCAGGTTGTTTATATATTTATTTTTAGTTTTTTTGAAAATAGATTTTCCTTCTAATAATATTTTCCCCTTCTTCTACTCCTCGGGATCCACTCTCTTTCTATCTCTTATTAGATAAAGAAAAACAGGTTTCTAAGAGATAACAACCAGACATCACAAAATAATATATAATAAGATGAAGCAAAAACTATCATATCAAAGTTTGATATCAGAATGAAACAGGAGGAAAAGAGTCCCTAGCACAGACACAAGAGTCTGACTCACTTATTATCACAGCAGGAGTAACATAAAAGTTCTAAGATAAAAGCTGTATACATACACAGAGGACATAACTCAGGCCCTTGTTGGTCCCATGCTTTCCCTTTTGGTCTTTGTGAGCTTATGTGATCATTGCTTATTTGATTCACAGGGCCTTCCTTTCCGAGTGTCCTCCACCAACACTGGCTCTCACAAGTTCTTTGGATGCCATGATATTTGAATAAATGGGTTTGATGGAGACCTCCCAGTAATACTCTCTTTGAATAATGTCTGACTGTGGTTCTATGCATCTCTTTACATCTGTTGCTGGAGACCCAAACACTGTAGAGAATTGTTTTAGCAATTCTGGGTTTCTTATTGTTCCATATGAAGGTGAGAATTTTTCTTTCAAGGTCTGTAAAGAATTGTGTTGGTAATTTGATGGGAATTGCATTGAATCTGTAGATTGCTTTTGGTAAGATGGCCATTTTTACTATATTAATCCTGCCAAGCCATGAGCATAGGGGACCTATCCATCTTCTGATGTCTTCTTCTAATTCTTTCTTCAGAGACTGGAAATTTTTTCATAGAAGTCTTTGACTTGCTTGGTTAGGTTCACACCAAGACACTTTATGTCCTTTGTGGCTATTGTGAAGGGATTTCTTTCCCTAATTTCTTTCTCGGACCTTTTGTCTTTTGTATAGGGGAGGACTATTGATTTTTTTGAGGTAATTTTGTATCCAGCCACTTTGCTGAAGGTGTTAATCAGCTGTAGGAGTTCCCTGGTAGAATTTTTGCAGTCACTCACTTATAGTATCATATCTTCTGCAAACAGTGATACTTTGACTTCTTTCTTTCCAATTTGCATCCCCTTGATCTCCTTCAATTGTTTTATTGCTCTAGCTAGGACTTCAAGAACAATGTCAAAGAGATATGGAGAGAGGGGACAGCCTTGCCTTGTCCCTGATTTCAGTGGGGATGATTTAAGTTTCTCTCCATTGAGTTTGATATTGGGTATAGGCTTGCTGTATATTGCCTTTACTACGCTCAGGTATGTGCCTTGTATCCTTGATCTTTCCAAGACTTTAAACATGAATAGATGTTGGATTTTGTCAAATGCTTTTTCAGCATCTAAGGAGATGATCATAAGGTTTTTCTCCTTCAGTTTGTTTTTGTGGTGGTTCACATTGATTGGTTTCTGTATATTGAACTATCCCTGCATGCCAGAGATGAAGCATACGTGGTCATAGTGGATGATATCTTTGATGTGTTCTTGGATTCAGTTTGCAGGTATTTTGTTGAGTATTTTTGCATCAATGTTAATAAGGGAGATTGGTCTGAAATTGCCTTTCTTTGTTAGGTCTTTGTGAGGTTTAGGTACCAAGATGACTATGGCTTCATAGAATGAGTTTGGTAGTGTTCCTTCTCTTTCTATTTTGTGGAATAGTTTGAAGAGTATTAAGTCCTTAATGAGCTAAGTATTTGGTTACCTAGGACAGCTGTGTGGGTTGCTGCTGTGTGAATGCCCCTAATTACTACTGTGCATATCATGGAAGGATCCTAAAAATTGTACAGAATTTCAAAATGAGTGAAACTTCTGAAGTGATTCCAAGTTTTGAAGAGATGATTCCAAGTATATTCACACAAGATGACAAAGAGTAATGGGAATTCTTGAAACATCCTCCTGAATAGCCTCCAATGTTGAGGAATGGAATAGCAGAGCTAGTGGTCAACAAAGAAATAGAGGCAACTGGCTGCAAGACAAAAGACTATTTAGAGATAGGGATAACAGACGAGGATGGCCAAGTGACAATCGATGGAATCAGTGGCATGGATGATCATGGGGTAACAACTACCCACAGCAGAGACCAGAGCCTTACTATCAACAACAGTGCAGGACAGTATGGTCACACCAACACTCTCCATACAGTTACTACTGACAGATGTCAGCTGTTTTTAACAAAAGAACATTGATTTTGACAACGTGCTAAATGTTGGTCTTCTTTTTGTCATAGCTTTTCATTCTATTTTAAAGAATGAGTTGTAAATTATTTAGAAATTGAGACTCGAAAAAAATTATTTTTCTAGGGGTAAAATGATTGATGTAATAAATCTACCAAGTGTGAATTACATAGCTTGACATTAGATTGAATACAGTTTTCTTTATGATTTCATAGTGTTTGAGTTTGATTTGTTTTCTTATTTGGCCTCTATGAGTTCCGTGTATGTCATGGAAATAAAAGTTTTTAATTAGAAAAAAAAATGTCCTGATAAAACAGGGCCAGAGGAAAGGGGAGGAGGTCCTCCCCATTCTGTGGACATGGAAAGGGGCTGGGAGAAGCTGAGGGAGGGCGAGTGGGATTGGGAGGGAATAAGGGAGGAGGATACAGCTGGGATACAGAGTTAATAAAATGTAACTAATAATAATAAACAATATAAAAAAAGTCCTTAACCAACATTTCCTTATTCACAAAGTAAAACACTAAATTATCTTTTAATATTATATTAAATAGCATTCATCTGAATTATTAATTTGGGGTACCCCTTTAAGTAACCAAAGCAAATTCCTTGGCAGGAAATTGAGGGTTGGAGAAGATATGGAATTTGCCTAATATTACACACAATCCAAAAGATGCAAAATCAAGATTCTAATCCTGTACCTGAATTGTGGATTTGTTCATCATCCACAGCCTCCTACATCTAGAAAAATATGCTTGTCAGAAAATGCTACTGAAAACATACTCCTCATTAGGTTTCTGGGTGTGAATAAGGACATTAGCATGTGGATGGCATGCAAATGAGTCCATTCCAGTCTAAAAGCAGTATCAAGGTGCTTAAGAACACACAAGCCTACAGTATCATCTTGATTGTGTGAATTTGCCAACACTGGTTCCTTAGAGGTCATTTTTGCTAACATACAGCCTGGCCTATATGCTCCCCAGACCACACACCAGCCTAGTTAGTTGTCTGACTCTGCTCACTATTACTATACATAACCAAGAGTTGTGTTGATAAAGCTGATTTAGATAGGGTTAGTATTACAATGATGAAACCTCATGAACAAGGCAACAAATAGAAGAAAGCATTTAACTGAGGGCTTGCTCAGAGTTTCAGAGGGTTATTCCATGGCCATCATGGCCAGAGCATGGTGGGAGGCAGGCAGGAAAGGTTGCTAAGAATGTGATCTGATCCACAGTCAGCAGGCCAAGAGAGACACTCTGGGTATGAAAGTGGGTTTTTGAAACTGCAAAACCCACTCCAAAGGGCACATCTCTTCCAACAAGGCCACACCTCTCCTCAAATTCACACCTCCTAATCCTTCATACACAGTCCACCAAGTGTAAAACAAGACAATTCAAACATATGAGCCTACTGGGGAGGGGGCTATCTCATTCAAAACACTCAAATTCTTTTATATTTTCCGTGAAATTATTGTGACGGCTCCTGGTTGGCTTGGCAGACACTCAAGGTCTTCTTGTGGTTCTCTCATTTAAAAATACTTTCTTTGTTGGAATCAGTAAGCAGGCATCTCTACTGCCAGCTCCAAGGAACCTGACAAACTGGTTATCAGGCATTAGGGAAGCCACGGAGAAGAACACCCGTTGATCACCCAGAACCACCTGGGCATGCTCTGGGTCAACTTATAAGAAACTGGCAGAGCCCCTTCCCTCTCTCTTTCTCTTTTGCCCCATCTCTCTGCGTGTTACCCCTTTTCCCTTCCCCCAATAAACCTCACACTTGGAACCGTTCTCGAGGTATGATTTGTGAACCCGCACTGTAACCTTCACAGCCACACATTTCCTAATATTCCTCATGCCCATAGTTTGTCTTGGAGATTGATATCCTCCTAGCAGTAATCATTATATCTTTTGATTATAACTGAACTGAGTCTATTGTCTTGTCCCAAGAATCAGAAACTCCATAATATTGTTATGTAGAGTAGGGCCCACTGAGCATCTTCCATGCAATGTCTCAGAATAAAAATTATCTTTAAATTTCATACTAGTAAGGTCTCTAATGAAACTTGGAAGCTAGAAATTACCCCATAAGAAATGTATGACTTAACATATTACTTTCTTTGAATTGGCCTCCCGAGTTCACTTTCATATTCAATCACAATTTTTTAATATTTTTTTTTCCTGAGCTAATAAGGTAGAAATCAGATAGGATACTATTTTGTAAGCCAGGCTGGCCTCAAACATGCATTCTCCTGCTCAACTTCTCAAAAGATGGGGTTACAGGTATGCAACTTTATGTCATACTAAAAAACAAAACTACCTTGTAAAGTATATAAGTCTATGTGTTTGGAAAAGTGTGTTGCTATATATCCAAAACTGTATTCAATATATAAGTCATAGGAGCTGTCCCAGGATGGCGACAACCAGCACACACTGTATCTGAGGTTCAAAGGTTGCAAAACTTCATCCTTTGCCCGGAGGGGCAGCTAAAATGAGAACATCCACATTGAGGCTTCCTGGGAGAGAGGAGACAACTCGTGAGCTGGGCCAGTTTGGATCCATGAGTTCATGGATGTCTCCAGGGACTGAAAGTGGTGAATATTCAACACCAATGCACTTTCCTTTGCCCCAAGAACAGGTTCAGAGGAGGCAGGCCTCCTTGCTCAGCTGAAGCCTCAGTGGGTGCCCCAAGCACGATGATCTTTCATGCTCAGTGACTGAAACACTGAAATGGCACAGGCAGGCCTCCCAGGGCTGCAGCTGCAGCAGGATGGCAGCTAGATCAAGCGGAACCTCCGTGTTCTGGCACTCCATGACTGAAACAGCACAGATGGTCCTCCCAGAGGTGTGGCTCTGGCAGGGCAGCTGATACTCCAAGCATGAACCTCTGTGCTTGGTGACTGAGACTGCAGAGGCAGCTACCCCAAGTACAGGCCTCCCTGCTCGAAGACAAAAGTGTGGACACCAATGAGCCTATGGATCTTCTACACTCTCATTTGCCCCTGCAGACCCAAATCTGAGAGTAGAGAACAGGGGGATCCTCTGTGAACCTTTAAGTGAGTGCTTGCAGAACCCCAGATCCAGGGTCTCTCTATGATAGCAGCCAGACATCTGATCCCTCCCACACAGACACCAACTATGGGTAACATAGGGATCCTTGAGAGAGCATTCTAAACACTGAAGCCCCTGTTCCATGGGTCTACCAGTGGCATCCATGCAAACCAGTAAAATCAGAAAAGTCCCAATCACAAAACATCCAAGAAATCAAGGATGTAGTGAAAAGACAAATTTTTGTGTTTTTTTTTATTTATTAGAATTTACTTACTTTGTATTCCCCCATAAACCTCTCTCTACTCTCCTCCCAGTCCACCATCGCTCCCCCTTCTCCATGCATGCCCCTCCCCAAGTCTTCTGATAGGGATAGTCTTCCTCTTCTTCCTTCTGATCCTAGTTTATCAGGTCTCATCAGGTATGGCTGCATTGTCTTCCTCTGTGGCCTGGTAAAGCTGCTCCCCCAACAGGGAGAGGTTATCAAAGAGCAGAACAATCAGTTCCTTTTAGAGGCAGTCCCTCTTCCCCATTAACATGGAATCCACTTGGACACTGAACTGCCATGGGCTACATCTGTGCAGGCGTTCTAGGTTATCTCCATCATTGGTCCTTGGTTGGAGTATCAAGCTCAGAAAAGACCTCTGTGCCCAGATTATTTGGTTTTGTTGCTCTCCTTGTAGAGAACCTGTCCTCTCCAGGAGCTACTATTTCTTCCTTCCTTCATAATATTCCCTGCATTCTACCCAAAGGTTGGCCATAAGTCTCAGCATCTGCTTTGATAACCTGCAGGGTAGAGACTTTCAGAGGCCCTCTGTGGTAAGCTCTTGTCCTATTCCCTGGTTTTCTCCTTCTTCTGATGTCCATCCTCTTTGCCTTTCTTAATGGGTATTGAGCATGTTAGCCGGCGTCCTCTTTCTTGATTACTTTCTTTGTGTGTACAGATTTTAGTACACATTATTATATTATATGTCTAATATCCACTTATGAGTGAGTATATACCCTGTGTGTCTTTCTGCTTCTGGGATACCTCACTCAGGAAAAGACAAAATTTAAGAATAATAGGAATATACAAAAAATAAGTACAGGAAATATTTTCAAGAAAATCATAGAAGAAAAATTTTCCAGCTTAAAGAATGAGATGTACATTATCATGCAAGAGACAAACAGAACACCAAATAGACTAGATCAGAAAAGGAACTCTTCATGTCACATCATAGTCAAAACACTAAATCTACAGAACAAACAAAAAATACTATAATCAGCAAGGGGAAAAGGCCAAGTAACATGTAAAGGTACACCTATCAGAATCATACCAGACTTCTTAACAGAAACTATGAAAGTCAGAAGGGCCTGGGCAGATGTCATCCAGACTCTAAGAGACCCCAGATACCAACCCAGACTACTATACACGGCAAAGATATTAATCATCATAGGTGAAGAAAAGAAAATATTCTATGACAAAACTAAACTTAAACACTATCTACACAGCAACCCAGCCCTACAGAAGATACCTGAAGGAAACCTCCAATCCAATGAAATCAACTACACCCAAGAAATCGCAGGATATAGATAACTTCACAACAAAAAATTAAAAGGAAAAAAGCCTTGAAACACAGTAACACCACCAACTCCACAATAAAAAAAAAAAAAACTAACACTATTTGGTCACTGTTATCTATCAACATTAACAGCTTCAACTGTCCAATAAAATGACACAAACTAACAGAATGGTTGCTGAAACAGGATCCAACATTCTGCTGCACTCAAGAAACACACCTCTGCAACAAAAATAAACATCTCAGAGTAAAGGGCTGGAAAAATGTTTTTTCAACCAAGTGGACCCATTGACCAAGCTGGGGTAGCTACCTTAGTATCTAATAAAGTAGAATTTCAACCAAAATTTATCAAAAAATATGAGGAGAGGCACTTCATTCTCATCAA